GTGCGCTGCCATGCCCAGCTAATTTTTTTTTTTTTTAATTTATTGTAGAGATGAGTTCTCGCCAAGTTGCTCAGGCGGGTCTCGAACCCGTGGGCCCAGGCAATCCTCTCACCTCAGCCTCCCAAATTGCTGAGATTACAGGCTGAGCCACTGAGCCCAGCTTAATTCCAGTACTTTGGGAGGCAGAGGCAAGAAGATTACCTGAGTCCAGAGATTTGAGACCAGTCTGGGCAATTTGGCAAGACTGCATCTCTACAAAAATATAAAAAAATAAGCTGGACATGGTAGCACACGCCTGTGGTTGCAGTCATTTGGAAGTCTGAGGTGAAAGGATCACCTGAGCCCAGCAGATCAAGGCTGCAGTGACCATGAACATGCCACAGCCCTCCAGCTTGGGCAACAGAGTGAGACTCCAACTCAAAAAAAAAAAAAAAAAAACTACACAAGCAGCTCTTCTCCAGAGGGACGAGGAATTCCTGTACTTTGGGTCTCACAGTTTTGTTGTAATCATGCTTTTTTTTCTAACATGTTCATGAAGTGACCACTAACCAAGAACTTCCAGAGAAGTAAAGTAGAAATCCCTCAGTGAATATTATACCTTATTTTATTTACTGTATCCATCCAGTGTGCAAAATTTTTTCTATGTTTTAAAAGATTAATAAAAGCACAGCTTTCAGCATTAAGGAGTAGGTCAGTGTGCAACGTGCTGGACCTCAGAGTATGGGGCCCAGGTCCTGGACCAGGAGCAGGAGTGGCAGGAAGAAGCCCTGTCTTTGGGCACCACCTCTGTTAAAGCAGCTATATTTCAGAGCCAGGTGGAAAGGCGGTGTCTTCCGTGGTCAGACTCTAGGATGAAAGCTGCCCAAGATGGAAATCGCCACCTGGATCCAGTGCCTTTTCCTTCCAGGGTGACATACACGTTGGATTTTGACAGCGAGTTTTTCAAGGGTGGTGAGCCCTGGATTATGATGTCAGTAGGATGCACTTGCTCTTGGGGAAAAGCATGTTGATTGTGCCATAGGGTGTGGGGTGGGGATCTGCTTATTTCCGTAACAGAGATAGCTTTCACTGGACTCTTTTTTTTTCCTTCTTTTTTCCTCTTTTAGACGATTGCATTCCAGCCCCAATGGTGCCATTGATGAAATATCATCTTTCTTCTCCTTCAGAGACACGGTGGCCAGAGATGGTGACTGCCTGGAAAGCGCAAACCGCCTCCCTCGTGGGAGGGACGGCGCCCGATGCCGGCTCACGGCTTTTTCCCTGATGTGCTTGCAGGTGTGGCCGACGAGGATGCCCTGGCCGCTGAGCGCATGCGGAGAGGCCAGAATGCCCTGCCGGCCCAGCCTGCCAGCGCCCGCCCGCCGAAGCCGCCCCGGCCGGCCTCCCAGCTCAGACACACGCCTCACTGTCTCTATGAGGAGGAGGGCGAGCCGGAGAGACCGCGCGTGCCCGGGTTCTGGGACCCCGCCGCGTGCTCAGCAGGTGTGCAAGGGGAGCCGGCCTCGGCGCCTCCCCCGAGGGATCCTTCCCTAGCGTCAGAAGGACAGAGAGGACAGAAGCCACGCCTGTGCTGCTGTGTCCTGACCTGAGTGGGGGGACACGGGTTGCAGGGGCGGGGCAAGGCACCTTGCTCCGCCCACCTCCTGCTCCTGGGCGCCTCACAGCGGGGGCTGGCCACACCCGAGGCTTCCCCATGATTAAAACGGGGCCTGCATCTCCTGTGATGTGCATTAAGTGTGTTGTCTCAGCAGGGGGTGAGAGAGCTGCCACAGAGCTGCAGGGTGCTGCTTTACCTTAAATGTGCCTTTTTATCACTTGCCACATAGAGCTTGAGATCTGTGACTTAACCTGCCATGCCTGAGGCCACTCCCAGGTCTGCCGGAGCCGAGCCAGGCCCAGGCACCCTTGAATTGCTGTGGTATTTGCCTGCCACCTTCCCACTTTTGGGTCAGCTACACCTTCTTGTGCCTTCTCTTATGCTGGGTTCAAAGCAAGAGAGTCCCGAGTCAAGCCCTCTTAAAAGCTCCTCAGTGCTAGCCACCCCTGGATGTCACGGGTGAGGTGAAGCCGAGTCTGTCCTTGCTCCAGCTCCCTGGGGTTCCTGCCCTATTTCCCCAGAGCCTGAACTCTCCTGGGGCCAGGATGGGCCTCTGCAGTGAGTTCTGCGGAAGTTCTTGATCCTCTATTGGTGTGCTGAGCATGTAGGCCTTGCCCTGACTGAGTCCTGAAGTCCAGTGTTAATTTAGTTTGAATTATTCATCCGTTTGAAGTATCTGTGCATATGTTAGTTCTCCATGCAGAGCTGCACTGACCATAGCAGACTGTGTTGTGGAGGGAAGCACTGACAGGTGATGCTCTGTGCTGAGGTCTAAGTCATGAAGTCCCTTCTGGGGACTTGTGCCAGACAGTACTATCTAAGCAGAACATGAAAAGGGGGAGGGTTCATTCCTTTCCTTTCCTAGACCTTGCTGTGAAAATCAGTCCCTTGGAGTCATTTCTGTCCTTTTCAGATGAAGCTGATTTGTTTGTACTGGTTTTGAGACAGAAGAGCACACATCATCTCGTCACGCATTCTGTCCCTGTAGGTGGGGTGTTGCTGGGGCCTTGGGGTTGGGCACAACAGCGCCCCCACAGCCAGCCGCCCTGCCCACTCCGTCTTGTATAATAGAGGCAGTCTGTGTGCATCCACAAAGAACTCACTCTGCACTGGGTGGGTTTGCAGGAGGACCCTCAGAACTTGCAGTCAACTCCTGGTACTGAAGGGTCTGGGTGGGGAGTGGGAAGGGACAGTGTTGTGTGAGGGGTCTTTGCAAGGTGAAGGATAGAGCAGGTTGTCCCTCGGGTTGGGTTGGGTTGGAAGGATACTGTAAGTCTGGCTTGGAGGCATCTCGAATTTCCCGGTGCCCAAGAATGAGGTGTGCTGGTGCAGCCTCACCCGCAGAAGCCGAGTTTCAGTGTACAGTGGGCCTTCGAGAGCTGGAACCAGGACAGCATGCGTGATGTGGTCGGGGTGGGCCCCAAAGCCATATCCTCATTCCAGTTTTGGGCCCCCTTCTCCATGGCTGGCACTGTTGCTGGGGGCTCCCAAAGACCACGCCTGTGAGGGAAAGAGACTCCTCACTGCCAGAGAATTGTGGGGGGAAGGCAGCATTTAGCAGTAAAACCAAGAAGGTAATTTTTCCCTCAAATCTCATTTTATTTGTCAGTTTTTATCATTAGGTTCTCTACCAGATATCTTTTTGGAATGGGGAAGATTAGTTGACTTAGGAATCCTCACACAAATCCTGACACATAAGAGGCAAAGGATAGACTTTTGTTGACTCCCCTGGTCCTTCTCCAGGATGAGGACAGAAGGAACACCTGCCAAGCCAGGCTTCTGGATGCTGCAACCTCTTTTTCTCTTGTTTGTTTCCTCTTTTCAGTTCTATTATGAGGTCTTGAAAAGATACCAAAGTAAAACCGATAGAGTTAAAGGCATGCTTTTCATACCAGCACATAATGAGCTTGTGTCAAAGGCTTTTACTTAACTTCTTATTAAGAGATGACAAAGCTGATTCAAAGAAAGATTTAAGAAACTGCTATAGAGTAGAAAAAAGGACGCTGCCATTTGCGATGTACTCATCCAGCCTTGCGGTCTGGGTGCTTTAGTAATCAGCACAGAGAGCAAGTTCCACCCCTGCAGACTCAGTTGGGTACATTCCTGGTATTGGTACTGAAGGTCTGGCTTCCCAAGAAGCCCCTTGTCACAGGAGGCTCAGATGGCTCCCAGCTAGGCTTCTGCGTGCTTGAAAGGTCCTGGTGTCATCTTTTTGCCAGATTTTCAAGTCTTGGACAATTTTTCTTAAAAAGTAGCTTATAGTAAGGAATTTTGTCACCCTGGATGTGTTAGGGATTCCTGTTTTGCGCTTTGGCCATTTGACTCTGGATAAGAGTGTATCCTATCGGAGCTCATGGAAGCTGGCTTCAGCTTGGTCCCAGGGGTTCCAGGACGTGATTTTTTTTCTACTCTGAAATGAGCTCTCACTTAAAATGCAAATACTCAAAATACTGAATTTACTGCTTAAGTGAGAATTTTCTATGTTTTGTAGCACGTCTGTTAAAATTCACTATTGGTATGTAATTGCATTCTTAGGTAACCCAGGTATCACAGGGAGTGCTTGTTTTGTTTTCAGCTGGAATTGGTTGTTTAGGGAGCTCTTGTCAATGTCATGCAGGTGACGGGGTGAAAATGTCACAGGGTTTCACTTGCTGACACATTTGCCCTTTTGTTGAATGTGTTGTTACTTTAAATTACTAACCTTGCAAACTCACTCTGCTTTACTTAGAGGACAGAGGCTCTTGTGTCCATATGGATGCCACTTGGAACCAGTAAATCATAAAGTAAAATTCTGAAAAAGGATTAGTGGTATCTAAGAAAAAAATAGTGTGTTTATGAATTCCATGCATTCCATAAGTCTATCAAGAACACGTAACTATTAAAAAAGAAAATTGAAATTATTGAACATGAAAAAACTCATGAAAAAAGAATGAACTTGACCCTTTGACATTTTCTTTTTTTGGTCTGAAGAACGCAACTTAGCAGGAATGCTGTGGAATGTTTCCCTTTTTGTGAAGCACAGTGTGGACCTTACAAAACTAAAGATTGGAATTTAACCCTATGATTAGCTTTTGACTGCTTTAAGTTTGTCTTTTAATAAAACTAATGTACATATTTACACTTGTTAAGAGTTTTCAGCAGTTTCTGAAAGTGTCTTTCTAACAGGACCTGTATTTTTTTTTTAGTAGTCTCTGGTGGGAGAGGCTTGGCACTGGTTGGAGAGTGCAGCTGAGGCTGGCAGTCCCTGGAAGGTTCTAGGTGGGTGGAGGTGGGCTCCTGAGTCAATGTTCTTGGTTGGAAGTTTAGGTGACAGGAAATACTTCACTTAAGTATTGAACATTGTGGTCAGGCGTGGTGGCTCATGCCTGTAATCCCAGCACTGTGGGAGGTGGAGGTGAGAGGATTACCTGAGCCCACACGTTCAAAACCATCCTGGGCAACATGATAAGACCTTGTCTCTACAACAAATCAAAAAATTAGCTGGGTGTGGAGGTACATGCCTGTGGTTTCCGCTACTTGGAAGGCTGAGGTGGAAGGATCTCCTGAGCCCAGCAGTCGAAGCTGCGGTTGCTTTGAGTGTGCCACTGCACTCCAGCCTGGGTGACAGTGAGACTCTGACTCAGGGAAAAAAATAGTATTGAACATGGTAAGAATATAAAAGTCAGGTGTGGTGACCCATTCCTCTAGTCCCAGCTACTCAGGATACAGGAGGATGACTTGAGCCCAGGAACTTGAGCCTGCAGTGAGTTATGACTGTGCTACTGTACTCCAGCTGGGTGACAGAACAAGGCCCCATCTCTAAAAACAAAAAAACAGAAAACATTTAGAACATCGTAAAGTTTTATTCTACTTGGTAGCGAACTCTGTGTGCCCTTGCCCCTCCCCCACTATCCCAGCTAGTGTCCAAAGGGGAGGGTGCCAAGGGCAGTCCTGATAGCTTCAGAAAGGATGAGAAGTAGTTGTTTTAAGTGAGCACCTGTTATTTCTTTGTTCTAGATTAGGGGCCTTGATGAAGTTCACTTTACTGAAGATGAGGATGTAAAAGCCCCAGGGTGCGCCAACATGCTTGGAGGTCTGGAGGACTTGGGAGAAGAGGCCTCCCTCTGCCTGTCCTTCAGGTCCCTTGGGTCCTGGAGGTGAGGGTCCTCCAAGGGGTGTGTCTTTGGGAGCTGGTGGGAGGGGGATGGGGGAACAGCCTGGCCTGAGCTCCCTCCAGAGTACACCCACGTGAAGTCATTTCTGATCTCTGCACACAATGACCCACAGAATTGAGCTTATTTTCCCTTCATTTCCCTTTGTTTAAAGTTAGTAGAAAGGCAGTGCTGAGCTGGGCGTGGTGGCTCACGCCTGTAATCTCAGTACTTTGGGAGGCGGAGGCAAGAGGATTGTCTGAGCCCACAGGTTCAAGACCAACCTGGGCGACTTGGCAAGAACTCGTCTCTACAATAAATCAAAAAATTAGCTGAGTGTGGTGGTGCATGCCTGTGGCTCCAGCTCCTTGGAAGGTTGAGGTGGAAAGATTGCCTGAGCCCAGCAGGTCGAGAATGCGGTGGCCATGAGTGTGCCACTGCACCCTCGCTTGGGTGACAGAGTGAGGCTCCGACTCAAAAAATAAATAAATAAAAGAAAGGCAGCACTACTTACTGCAGGGCGAGTTCAACCGAGGGCAGAGGCTTTCTGTTAGGAAGAGAGTTTCCCAGCCAGATTGAGTGATTGTTGCGTCGCGCCTCTCAGTCCATCTCTGCAGCCAGCTTTGCTAGTGACAGGGCACTCCAGTCACCCGGGGGCCCCTGCAGGGATGGGCCTGTGGGTCCAGGAGCAGGTGCACTCCACCTCCCAAGGGCCCCAGATGCTTGGGAGTTGTGTGGCCATATAACCCAACGTGTGCTAGCTCAGAGCCCAGAAGTTTGTCATTTGTGCTAAAATTCCTTCAGTTGGTTTTAGGTTATTTTTCTGTGGTCTTAAAATTTAAAATGCCTTCCAGCAGAAGGCATTTTAAGGAGACAGTTTGAATGATCATACCTCTCCCAGCTCCTCCACCTGTGTGTCTCGTGTGACTCCCTAGAGAGTGACCTCCCATCCTGGGAAAATTCAGGGTCCCTCTGCATCCGATGCTGGGATTTCACAACAGGCAAATGGTGCAGGGCCTGTGGGCACCACAGGTGGCTCTATGCTGCCGGGGGATCCCTCCTCAGTCGCTGGTGGGGGCAAGAGAGTATTGCTGGGGGCTGTCAGTCCTCACTACCCCAGCAGGCCTACCTGGCCTACAGGAACCCACTTCTCAGCCCCTGATCCTTCTGTTTCTCTGTGCTTTGGTTGCTCCCTTGGAGACTGAAAGTGATGGCTGAATAAAATGACATCTGACTGGTGGACATCTGAGTCACATTGAGTCAGGGGGTGCAGACAGACAGCCTGACTTCCTCCTCTACCGGAGGTTTCTTGAGCTCTGGGTAACTGTTGGTAAAGTTAAAGATCTGTCCATTAGTGGTAGACTAGGTGGGCTTTTTGTTTTTAGGCTGGCCTTGGACTTCTGGGCTCAAGCATCTTTCTGCCTCAGCCTCCTGAGTAGCTAGGACTACAGTTTTTGGTACTTTTACATATAAATGTAATTGAGTCTGGTAGCAGGTTAAAAGAAGCCATCCTCATTTCCCTGCCTGAGAAACTTAAAAAAAAATTAAGAACTACAGTGAGTCAGAAAGCAGGAAGCCATGCTGGTGACATCAGTTCCATAGTTGACTGGATTTCCAGATGGACTGTTTGATTTAATCCACCATTGATGTTGATGGCCTTGACTTGTCCTGCATGTGCCTCTGTTTACAAGCACCTTCCCTGCCTGAAAACCACTCCCTTCCCATGCTCAACTCCAAGCTATACCCGGGACTAATTTTAGAAGCAGTTTGTTGGGGGTCTTCCTGTAAGACCTTCTGTACTGTGACTGGCCCTCCCTTGAGGTCACCTCTGTGTGCACTTGCTATCCCTCCATCACGTCTGGGAAGGATATGGGAGTTCTGAGATACACCAGCACACTGGGCCGGTCCCTGCTCTTGGAAGCCACCCACAGTCAGATTGGCTCCATGGTAGCACTTTTGAAGGGTGTCGTCTATTGGCTTTCTTCCCTCTTCTTTTCCTCTGTTGCCTTCTGAGATCACTGCCCTTTTCCAAAGTGTAGCATTTATGGCCCAAGTCCCCTTGAACCATCTCGCGGGTCATGGCTTCAGAGCCAAGTTCCAGTGACCTCTGAGCACAGCATGGCCCCTGCTCAGTTCAGCCCTCTGTCTCCCTCTTTCCATAGCTCCGAGGCACCTTTCCTGAGCACATGACCAGGATGGCTTGGTGTTTACAGGGCATGAGGTTCTGCTGGGCTGCTCTAGCAGGGTGATGGAAACATACTTGGCTTGTGTGGAAACCTCACCAAGCTCGCAGCCTCTGCTATGCGTAGGCTGTAGGCACACGTGGTCGTGGGTGTGAGCAGATCCACAGGCTTGTTTCCGTCTGACTGCACGTCCCCTCCTGTGGGCTACTGTCAGAGTCTGGCCGATGTAGCGATCGTGAAAGCCATGGGCGCTGCAGGGCACATTTGGAATCCCACATGTGTTTGCTCCATTGCATTCCATTGTGACACGTGTGAGCCCCACTTAGTGGACTTCCATCTTGTGGCATGTTCTCCAGAGTGATGGTCGTTAGCTAGGCTTGTAATGTGTATCGTAAGTAAGTTACATGTTGGCTATAGGCAGCATCTGACCAAAGCAAGGCATCTGACCCATCTGGTGAAAGTGATTCTCCAAGGTAAACCCCAAGTGTGAGAGGGCAAGCCTTGTGCCAGCCAGAGAGGTCTTGTGGTAGACGGTCCTGTGCTCTGCCATGTCTCCTGATTAGGCATTGGCTCCATAATGTAAAGTTGGCAGGATGCATTTATGTGATCTCCTCAGCAGTCTCTGGGCCTGCATGTTAGACCCAGGTCCGCCGTGCCTTCTGCTGGTCGTGTCCTGGGCTCTGCTTAAGTCAAGCCTTTACGCTGGTATCTCAGTCCTCAGATTCCACATCAGGCTCATTTCCTGCATTCACATTTCTGTAGACTGAGTCTAAGGCAGCTTCTACTGAGCTGAAAGCTCCTTGGACAAAATGTCCAGAGGGTGAACATGTGTCTTTCTCCGCTGGCTTCAGCTGGGTCAGTCAGTCACGCAGTTGTTGACTTCAGCACATACCACAGTGATGGCGAAACATTATCATCCTCAAATAAGAAACGGACTTTCTCAGGCTGAATATCACAGAGCCACAAAAGTGAGCCCAGTCCACAGCCTGGCGTTGCCTACAGAAAGGGCTCGCTCTCTCTGGCAGTGCTGGAGGAACCTCTTGGGTCCCCTCCATAGAAGCTTTGCATAGGTGGGCAGCTGAGGGGCCATGGACTCCGAAGGCAGTAGCTAGGGCAGGTGTCCCAGAACCAAGGCACAGCCTTTTTGCAGAGCTGGCATCCGAGTTCTGCGGCTGTGGGCTGGGTTGCAGGTGCTTGGGTGAGTTTCACTCCCTTCTCTGCAGGGTTGTACAATACTGAATAACGGGAAAAGTTTCCAGCATGCAATTTATGAGGTGAACTCATGTTTTGAGGTTTAGATGTGGCCAAAGAGAATGACTTTGTTCTGTTGCTTTTTTTTTTCTTAACATGGGGAAATATTTAGCAAACTTGTTTGCCTCTTACTGGGGAAGCAGTTGCTGTTCTGCACAGTATTTTACAAGCCGTGTTTCCTTAGGATTCAAAGAAGGTGGCAAGAGGAAGAAGCAGAAGCAGAGAGAGGAGATGAAGAAGAAGAAGTCGACCAAAGGGAATCACTAGACTGGACTTGCAGGCACGCGTGCCCTTGGCACCCGGCAGATGTTGGCGCACGGGCCTTGCTTGGTGTGTGGTTGTGCACACGTGCTAGGTAGTGGCATCTTGATCAGGACTGTCCCGAGGCCACACTCACTTAGGATTATGGACATGTGATCATGGATCGGTCAGATCAGGCAGGCCAGCAGACAGGAGTGGAGGCTCAGGGGTGGCGGTGATAGACTTTTGGGACACAGCCTTGACTTTCTCACTTCGCTTTTCCCTGGCACTATACATCCGCTAGCATTTTTCTGTAGAGCTGTTACTGATCTCTGTCATTCTTTTCAGTCAATCAACTACTATGCACACTACTGAAACATTTCTAGCTTTAGAAGCACGATAAAGTACAGACAGGTAACTGAATTTATATTCATGAAATGGCTTTCCTAATGGCGGGCGATACAGTGTTTGAAATTAGAATGCAGGAAAGTGTAGCATAATTTAAAGATAACGTAAATAACACATTGAATCGTGACTGTCAAGGGACTTTTTCTCCAAAGTAGTATGGCCACACACCCAGTAAGCTGCGAGGAATCACTTGATATATGTATCACTTTAATTTTAATCCTCTCCAGGTAGTCCAAACTTAACTTCAAATGTTGTGTAGATTTTGCTAAATTCCATCTTTTTTTTTTTCTTGAATCCACCGTTCTTTTTAGTGATTAAAAAAAAATTGCTCAGCAATGCTTTTTCTAGCTTTCCGAGGTTAGGGCCATGCTGGGGAAGGATAGATTAGGCTTATACCCATGTGAAATTGTCAGACTTTGAGCAAGTAGGTTGAACTAAGTTATTTCAATTTGTAAACATTGGCTCCTTAAAAGTAAATCACTTTACGCTAGCGCGATTCTGACCAGCTTCCTGTACCTCTTTCCTTTGCATGCTCTATTGCTTTGTAACCTTTTGTTTTTCCTGAGCACTAGGTAGAGCTCTGGTATTGCCTTAACTTCTTCCTGCATGCTCCCTCTCAGTGACTTTCTCCTTCCCTTTAACACAAAGATCTGCCGTTCATATTGCTTTTGCCTTCGTCCTCTTGGAGTTGAGGGCATCGTAAAAAACTTGGATATGATTTCAAAATGCCAACAATTTTAATCTAGTGGTTTTGAAACTAGGACTTTTTGGGCACAGTTCTGTAGCAGTGGCACAGACTTTGAAGCCAGCAACAAGTGTAACCTGTGATTTTAACATGACTGTTACAGAGGGGTTTGCTTTGTTTATTTGGTTTTGGGGGGAGTGAACTGGTTGGTATTTCATGCTTTTTTGTGGACATTGTAACCCTAAATGCATAATGTGTTTTCAGTGCTACCTACAGAAATAAAGCGTAAACATACTGAGTACAGCTCACCTGCTGTCATTTATAAGTGTCCGTGCCCTACACCGTTAGGACTCCTTAAAAATAAAAGCAATTCTTTAACCTTGCAGTGATGACAGATGAAGGGGTGTCTGGGGGGACAGAAGGCTAGCTTCTGGAAGGCGTTGCTGTAAGATGAAAATGGGACTTTAAAGCTCATGTCCCCACTGGCCACACCTGGGGTAAACCGATAGCTTGTGCAGCATCAATGGCTGAGAGGACCAAGAGGAGAGCAATTTGTCCACCTCCTCTGACTCTGGCCAGCGACTGAGACAAACCAGACACTTGCTGTGTCCTTCCTTCATCCTGGCCTTTCTAGTGACAGGATGGTGCTGCAGTAATCACTTTAGGAGGTAAAGTCACCTTCTTAGTCATAAACTTACCACGGGTGGTGCTCTGGAAGTCTGTTGGATTTTTGAAATTATTTTTTTGAGTTGGAGGTCTTACTCTGTCGACCAGGCTGGCGTGCACTGGCACCATCAAGGCTCACCTCATCCTTAAACTCCTGGGTCAGGCAGTCCTCCCTTCTCAGCCTCCAGAGTAGCTGGGACTACAGGCATGCACCACCACATCTGGCTAATTTTTAAAAAAATTTTTTGTAGAGATGAGGTCTCACTATGTTGCCCAGGCTGATCTCGAACTCCTAGGCTCAAGCAGCCCTTCCACCTCAGCCTTACAGAATGCTGGGATTACAGTAATGAGCCACCACACCTGACCTAATTTTTTATTTTGAAAAAGAGATTATGTTCACTCAGCTGCTCGATCCCAGAATTTGCTGCTGAAATTGTGATGGAGGGAGGTAGGTGGCTCCATGAGTTTAGAGGCTGTTTTGCTGCTTCCTGGGAGCTGTAGCCCTTGACCCTTGCTTTCCTAACCCCCAGGCATCACGTGAGCGTGAACAGGCTGCACACGACTGGGCCACAGTGGTTGGGAGATGTCGTCACAGCCAGACACGCTGAGCCGCGTGTGTGATGAGCTGCAGTCAGACCTGTGGCGTCCCCCAGTTGGCTTGGCCTTCAGGTCCACTCGTGACCACAGGCAGCTCCTCCTGACACTTTATCAAGACCCCGACCAAGGAGGAGGGGGAAGCCAGTGTCTTTGGAGCGCCTGCTGCTTACCAGGTCAGCCATGTAGGTGTCTACTTCTCGGGGGAGGAGAGACACAGAGCAAGATGAGGTCTGCCTGCCCCCACATCTGAGACCCAGTGCCCTGGTTGGTGCTGGCACCGAGGCACCTGGGAGGCTGCTCTGTGCAGGTGAGCCCGGTGTGTGCCCACTCCAGAATCTGCCGGCAGGGCCCTAGCATGCTGGTGCTTCACAGTCTGTGACCTTAGTGACCCTCCAGGCCCTGGGTGGCGGTGGATGGTGGGGGGAGGGTGCAGGAAGGGCAGGCAGGAAGGCAGGTAGGCTCTGGCTCCATGCCAGGAGGCGGCAAGGGGACAGGGCTTGGGCAACTGGTGGGGGATCCTGGGGGCGTCAAGAACACATGGGGCTGCCTGCATACCTTTCACCTTTGGCAGGGGGATTAGGGGCTGTAGAACACACTTTCCATAAGTAAATCAATGGAAACATTTTGAAATGCTCACACAGTCATGGAAAATGGCAGAACCCCACAGCGAGGTCCCATGTCCCCTCCCCCTCCCACCCCTGTCTCCTGTGGGGAGGCAGCATGATGTCACCTACAGGGTTGAGCTTCTGAATCGTTCAGCACCTGGAAATGTGGGTTATGATGAGAATGACCACCTACGGGCTTTTTTGTCTTTGTGTTTGTACCTTTGCCAAAATAAGGTATTAGTTTGAAAACCTCCTGGAGAAAACCCTAAGATCCCCAGTTGGGATTCCAATTCATGTTCCTTCCACTGTGCCCGTTGGTCCTGGTTGCCCTGGGAGGCGCCGTCTGGCTGTGTCCAACTCCACTCAGAGTCTCCAGCTGGGCGGCCTCATCTGGTGGATGGTGCTGTACCTCGTCCTCATCTTCCCATGTTCTCTGGTCGCCATCTCATCCAAAGGTGACTGTTGGTTCTGTGTCCAGCCACTCCCACAATACCCTAGCAGGCCGGGTGCCCCCAGCCTGTGTTGGATGGCATGTTGCGTCAGGTGGCATGTCAGAAGGAGCAGACAAGCGGGTGGGTCACAGCCAGCTTGTCCCTGGAGGGTCCCAGGCTGGGGATGTCCCAGGGCTTTCAGCACCTGGGTGAGCTGGCCCCAGGCAGGGTAGCCGTGGCGGTCTGTCTGCCCTCTGAGGAGTACACTTCTCCATCACAGTGTCACTTTCCAAGCCCAGGGCTTTCGGCAAACGAATGAATCCACACAGGAGCTGGGCAGGGTGGGTCTGTTCACGTTCTGGACCTGGAGAGAGCCATCCTCGTCCTTGTCACCCTGTTGGCATTCAGGGTGAAATAAGTGTGTCTCCCTCTGCTTATCCCTGTGGACATAATTCACAGGCGGGACCCCCCTGCCTCAGGTGTGCCCTGAGGACCCAGGTGTGGCCAGAGCATGTGGATGGCGGGGAGTCAGGGTGTCAGGAGGCGCCTGATGTAAGCAGGCAGCTGTGAGTATTCCTGTATCCCAGCGGGATGAAGGGAAGGGCCAGGGCGGGGATTGGGAGGAAAACTGCAGTTCAGCGGGTGAGGAAGAGGCCAAAAGCCTGGGCTGCCCAGGGAGGGGTCTGGGCCCCAAGACAGGTCTAGAGGTCCCTTCTTTGACGATGCGTGGGGGATGGGTGCCTAAGCCCTGCTGCCATCTTGGTGGTGGGTGAGGGTCTAGTGGGGCCAGCCCTGCTGGAGATGACCCCTGACTCTGCCCCTTGGTTACTGTGAGTCAAGGCAACATTGGGATTTTTGGCGTTTCTCTTGGTTTTCTTTTTCTTTTTTTGAGTTGGAGTCTCACTCTGTCACCCAGGCTGGAATGCAGTGGATGGGCCACTGCAGCCTCGACCTGCTGGGCTCAGGCGATCCTTCTGCCTCAGCCTTCCAGGTAGCTGGGACTACAGGTGCATGCCACCACGCCTGGCTATTTTTAAAATTTACTGTAGAGATGAGGTCTCGCCAAGTTGCCCAGGCTGGTCTCGAACCTCTGGGCTCAGACAATCCTCTCGCTTCTACCTCCCAAAGTGCTGGGATTACAGGCATGAGTCACCACGCCTGGCTTCTCCTGGTTTTCATATTGTTGGTAAGCTGAGGAAAAGCCTGACAGGAAACAGCCCCTGGCAGGGATCTGGCTGCCTTTTGGGGGTCTGCCTCCCCTCGGCAGACAGGCAAATTTAGGGCAAATTTCATCCTAAAGCTCCACCATATGGACACCTCCAACAGATTCACAACCAGGGAGAACTGGGGTGCGGTCACCTCAGCCTGAAGACTGATGTTCAGCCTCCTGCTAGGCAAGCTTCCCACCCCTCACCTGCACCTCATCAATGACCCCTTTGGTCTCGGCCTTGTTTCTCCAGAGCCTGCGACTGGCTGGGGCCCCTCTGCCAAGTGGATTCCATGTGCGCACTGGCCCAGGCTCCTGTGGCTGCCGACTGTCCTGGGAGGCGGCCCTGGGGTGCACCTCCTTTCTCCTGCTCTCTCCTTGGGTCCCCAGCCCAGTTGATTCAGGTGAGATTGCTGGCATTCAGACATTCTGGAGCCTCTCAGGCTGAGACAGAACAGGTGTAGGTAACTTCTACCTGTGGGTTCCAAGACCACCACTCCTGCCCCAAGGCTTGCTGAGGGGACTTTTCCAGAATTCAGGCTCTGCCACTCCATCCTCATCCACACCCCATGGTCTCTGCCTGCTGGGTTGAAGCAGTGTTGACCACGCAGTTCATCCGGGCCGGCGTGAACCACCCAGGGCTGCCAGAGTCAGGTCAGCAGTGACAGAGCAGGAACCAGACCTCACCCGAGGTCATAATCTTGACCTGTAGTTGTCACGTCTTCACCGCAGGGTGAGATGCTGGGCTGGCCCTATCAGACCCTCACCCACCACCAAGGCGGCAGCAGGGCTTAGGCACCCATCCCCCACTCATCGTCAAAGAAGTGACCTCTAGACCTGCCTTGGGGCCCAGACCCCTCCCTGGGCAGCCCCCATGCTTTTAGCCTCTTCCTCACCTGCTGAACTGCAGTTTTTTCCCAATCCCCGCCCTGGCCCTTCCCTTCATCCCGCTGGGATACAGGAGTACTCACGGCTGCCTGCTCACATCCCACCTGTGTGATGGTGGGAGGGCGCTATAAACATCCAGACCGATGCTCTGCACGGAGGCTATCACATACATAGATGGTGAAGAGACAGTGACAAGGAATGGGTGAATGACTTTGCCTGGGAGAAGAGGCTTCTCATGGCTCTGAGCCTTCTCAGGTGACCCAGCTGCACCTATGTCCAAACTTGGCCATGAAGTGCTTAAAAAAATTTCGTTGAGGCCGGGTGCGGTGGCTCACGCTTATAATCCCAGCACTTTGGGAGGCCAAGGTAAGAGGATTGCCTGAGCCAAGGGGTTCAAGACCAGCCTGGGCAACTTGGTGAGAGCTCGTCTCTACAATAAGTCAAAAAATTAGCCAGATGTGGTGGTGTGTGCCTGTAGCTCCAGCTACTTGGAAGGTTGAAACAGAAGGATCACCTGACACCAGCAGATCGAGGCTGCGGTGGCTGTGAACGTGCCACTACACTCCAACCTGGGAGACAGAGTGAGACTCCAACAAAAAAAACCCCAAAAATTCCATTGTAAATCCTAGTAACTCATATATGACATAAAATTTATCATTCTATTCAGTTTGCCCCAACCTGCTGGACTCAGGTGATTTTTCTGCCTGCCTACGAAGTAGCTTGAACTACATGTGTGTACTGCCATGCCCGGCTAATTTTTCTTGATTTATTGTAGAGATGAAGTCTTGCCAAGTCGTCCAGGCTGGTCTTGAACCCCTAGGCTCAGGCAATCCTCTCACCTGGGCCTCCCAAAGTGCTGGGATTACAAGGCATGAGGCTCCGCGCCTGGCCCATTTTTACCAATTCAGTGTC